GCAGTTTGGGAGGTATTTTTAGGTATACGTGGTATTTACGTGGAAAACTGTACTAGTTTTCAACAGTAAGGAGCTACTTAGGTTTTTGGTAAGCCCTGCACGTGGTAGAAATCCGTATACATCAATAGTTTATAGAAATATCCAGCGATTTCCTTGACTTTGAATGAAGATCATCATTTGTTCGATGAAGGCACTGATACCTTTGATAACAATAGATCCCATTGTGATTGATCTTTTAAAGTGGAAGTAAAAGCAGAAAAACGATGCCTTGATGTCCTTGAAAATGCCCAACTTTTGCCAGGAGGATTTCAGTTTCAGCAGGATTTTATTACTTTTTTGCAATTACTTTTGCAATTTAAGAGAACCGAAAACCATCTCTTTGCTCTCTCAAACTTTCAAAATTCTCGGCCCTCCCCCTTTTTCTACTCTCTCGTTTTTTAAAATTCTGCGGGAAGGTCAGCGAATTTCTGTATTTAGCAAACATCCAAACGCTCGGCGTTTTTCTGTTCCATGTCCTCAACAATTGAACTCGCTGTCAGGCGACGCACACAGCATCCTTTATCCTTTATCCTGTGTGCCCAAGCTACCCCTTTCCACGATTTCCGTGACAATGACAGCCTTTTGCCAAAATGTAGCGTTTATAACGTTTTCAAATCACACAATTTCCAACAAAATAATGCGAATAAAGGGTTGCTCTGCGTCCAGCAGGAGATGCCCTACTGCTGTGCGTCCATGTGCCATATTTTCCGATTCTATATACGAGTATACATTCGTTATGTACAAGATCTCCGATACGAAGTCTACTTGCTGACCAACCCAAGGCGACTTCCTAATCACACGCACGTGCTTTCCAAAAAGGATGGACTGACAGCACCGACCAAAACAAAGGGAAATCCCGTCCTGCGTCGGTCAAGCGGTCGCTGTGTCCGTCGAGGGGTTAACTTTTGTCGGACACGCGTCACCAGACTTTCTACAAAAACACACAATAAAAATCCATCAAAGTGGTCTGTGGTCAAGGGCGGGACCTGAAGCGATTTGGAGAAACGGGTTTTCCCCGAAAAAACGACCGGAAAATTGTGTGAAAATGCGGAAAGCAACAGCTTAAGCTATAATTAAGCGGTTAAGCGAGGGAAAATGTTGAGTCCTATAATGTGGGCATTATAAAGCGGTTTTTGACCACAATAAGTATTGTTCTGTTGTTGCAATTACTCATTACTTAAGCCTAAAAATTAAAATAGGTTTAAATACGAGTAGTAAGTACTTTTTTTTATATTTATTAAGTGAAGAATCCGTAAGTACTGGGTTTCATAATGCCATTATAAATAGCTTTCAAGAAAGCACTTGTTTCTTAACATTCCCTACATCTTAATGCAAGAACATTATTTTAAATTTTAGATGCAAAATTCTTTTCATGCAAAATTCTTTTACTTAGTTAGGCTTTTTAAAGTCTTTTGTAGAGATATTTCAAGCAAATACATACAACACCGCAAATTCTTTTAATGAGGCGATTGAAGGGCAGTTTTCTGCGGTAGTAAAAAACAGCAGTTTTAGATTTCTCGTTTCGTTTTCTGCCATTAAAAGTTTCTCTTTCCAATTGAATCGATCGACGCCCCTTTAACCCCACTGAAACCCTATACAGCCATCGATCATGATCGCGCTTCCTTCCGCAAAAAATTCCCACAGTGCAAAAATCGGCGAAGGATTGCGATTGCGATTGAGATTAGGAAAAGAAGCCGACCCGGCGAAAAAGGAATTTACGAGCGATCGAATAACCGAGGCACCACTGGCACCACCAGGTATCAAAGGGTGCAGGATCCAGCCAGAGGTCCTTGGGCCGGGCCCAAACGTGTCACGTCTTATGATGTCACTGCTGGCGATGCTGCAGCAGCCACCCCAGTGCGAAGATAGTAATCGGCCTCACTCTCATCTTTATCCTGACCCGATCCTCGCCGGGTTCACAGTAAATTACTCGCAGAGGTGAAATGCAAACAAAGACGGATCGTCTCCAACCCTTGCAGGCCGCTTTTCTTTCCATTTCCCACTTTCTTCCCCTTTACGTGCGCTCCTTTTTGTGACGAATCTAATGATTTTTTCCTTAAACTGAACCGATTTTTCATTGACCCAACCACGGGGTGAGTTCAGAGATCGCCTTGGTTTGGCCTGGGCCTCTGTTATGCCAGCTTGAACTGGTAACTGCAATCACCCGTGAAGACTCCGATCTGAGCGGAGGCATCCGCTCCGACTAGGGCCTGGTTTTAGGGGTCATTGACGCATTAAGTCGAATTTATAGCCATCGAATGCCAATAGTCATGCAGATTAATGAGGAAGGCTGCTCAGAGGTGACCCATCCAAGGCTCGCTCTTTGTTGGATTTTGGAGGGTCAGGCCAAAGGGGTGCACCTTTTGCCCTTTTCGGATAACATAGTTCGCAAAGATGAGCCCATAAAACACCAAAGATCATATTTTGAAATATTAGAAGAAGGAATAAAGTAACGTTCACTTGCAAACTATTCCAAGATAAATTGAAGGGAGAAACTGAAATACAGCAGACAGCCCAGAATTTATTGTATTTTTAATTTTACTTACACTTAGACATTAAGAACTCTTTCTTAGAATATTTCTGAAGAAAGTCAAACCTCCCTTCAGATATTAAATATAAATTAACATAAAAATCTAGTTTTTTCCTAATCAAATTCCAATCAATTTTCACAAAAGTTTGTTGTACCAAAATTAAGTACTGAGGTGGACATAAAAAGCATAAAACAATGAACAAGAAAGAAAACTCGCTTTGGAAAGCCTAAGGTCTAAGTCTTAGGACGGATCGAGAGATGGACATGGCTATATCGACTAGGCTGTTGATATCAACTAAGAGGGTAAATACTTAATATGGTCGCAAAAGTCTCCTTCGCTGCATTGCAATCTTAAGACTAATATTCCATCTTATTTTTTTTAAATTAAAAACCTAGTCAATGCGACCAAGTTCCATGCTTGAACGCGCGTTTCCTTTTGGTGCTACAAAGATTAAAATCCGCCCAAAAACGATTTCTATCTCAACAAGCAAATCTCTGCCGCAAAATTAGACACTTTACCCATCAAATTTTCATTACACAAAGAGGGGAAATGGACCGAATTCGAACAGACTTTCCACTCAGCCAGTGAATATGCAAATGACCGTTTTGCGAGCGCAACAATGGAAGGATCTTCCAAAATAATTTGATGCTACAGGAGGAGGAGGTAGGTGAGCGGGAATTGGGAGTGGACCAGCACGCTGACCCGAAATTATAAAGTTACAAAAGCGGCGGCAGGGCAACCCTTTGCTACCCCCAGACGAATCGAATTACAGGGCTCTGCCGGACCGAGGACCATGAGCTGGCCGTGGACCGCCGGGCTTGTTAGCCGCGCAGCCCTCATGTGGGTATTCAAATTATTAGAGCTCGGTGCCAACCCGAGGATTTGACCAAACAAATCCCTTCTAATTTCACCCAGGGAGCCGCGCATGTGCAGCAGATTAAGAGTTGGACGCTGTGCAGCTTTCGATGCACAAACTCGGGCAAACTGGTTTTGGATTTCGTATGCCCTGGCCCATTTCCTATGCCGTGATGCTGGGCTGTCCATCCATCATCAACGGACCTGGACGCTGAGGGGAAAAACAACAAGTCATTTGAAGTTTTAATAGACGCTGCATCCTTTTGTTGGGAAAAGTAGCTAAAACTGGTTCTTAAACCAGACCAACCCTTTCCCCGAGCGGAAATTTTATTTTAATTTTATATCCTTTGATTCGAGAAAGTTTTCCCTGGGAATGTCTTGGCCTATGCCATCCTGTTTTGGGAGAAATTTTACAATTTGTTTTGATACAATTTATCTCTTGCCGCTTAATGGGCCTTTTGGTTTTGGATTATCTTGAGAGCCTTTGGGAAAATTAAAACTGATTTTGAAATTCATAACTGCGCAGGCAATGCAGGGCGCATGCATTATTCAAGGATCTCCTGAATAGTAAAGCATTAGTAGTAAGGAACTATAATAGTTCTCGAAAGGGAGGGTGGCTAAGATCGAGTCCGAAAGTTGCCACGAGCCGGCGCTTCCCGTTCAACCCTTGGCCGCACTTCAACTGACCACTGGTCCTCACCTAGCCGAAACTATCATCGCATTGTTCGTACTTCCCCATTCCCATTCCCTTCACCGAGAAGGGTCATCAGGCGGCACGCGCAAATGGTCAGGAATCTGTATCCTGCGTGGCTGCAGCCGACACTTTAAGCGGATGCGGCTAACAAAAGAGGAGGATTTCAATTTGCAAAAACATATATTATGCTTTCATTACGCGCGCTTTGTTATGTAAATGGCGCAAAAGCATTTGCCAGCAACCGAAATAGCAATGGCTGTGCAGAAATCGGAGCAAAATCAATTGTGAAAAACAATTTTTGGCATCGAATAGACAACCTTTCGGTTGGGAACTACACATTTCAGAATTTGGAAAGAAACACAAATGTTATCAAGAATCGTATAAATCGTATATTTTCATTATAGTTTCATTATTTTCTACAGCTGCAGCCTACTTTTTTAAGGCGTATTCTTCAAATTCATTATACAAGAAATTTAATTAAATTATAATTTAATTTATAATTAATGTCAAACATCAGCCAGGAAAATTATAGGTTTATTGAGAATCTGCAGGATTATTAAATTAATGATCCTCTGATCAATTAAATTTATAGTTATAGTTGAAGTGTTATTTTCTATACTTGTAGCATATTTACAGGCATTCCTTTTTTCTACAGGCGTAAACTATCATATAAACATGTGTATTTTACATCCACAATATACTATTTTACATTACAATATAATACTTGGGCATGGAAGTGCCGGCAAAGAATCAAGTTACAATATTTACATAATGACAATTTTGCATTAAATAAACAACAAAATATAGATGAATAATGGATAAAAAAGCTATTTAAGGCAAGAGTAATTTCCCGTGGTATTTCTTTCGGTATATTTATCATATGTTTGGTAATTTAAAACGGTCACTCTAAGTTACAAATTACCGCGAGATACGTTCAACAATTTAGTTTTTTTATGATATTCTATGTAAGTTCGACATGTCCATGAATTCTCATACTTTGGACTTCACAATGGATTTGGAGAACAACAATACGCCATTAACCGGCAAAGAACCCGAAAAATGTGCGGAAAAAAGAAAATATGTAAACAGAGATGAAAAGCAAGGGGAAACCAAAAGACTGAAAAATGAGGAACCAAATGTGGAGACCACAAGCCGTCCGCCCGCGCATAGCCCCAAAAAACGCCTCCAACTGAACGGAAAGACCAAGCACAACAAGGATGTTAACTTCACGTACGGCAACTACAAACACTACTACGGCAAGCGCATCCTGGACAAGGACTTTCACGACATACGCCTGGACGTGCTTGGTACGCAGCCGGATTTGTTTCGGGGCAAGCAGCTGCTGGACATCGGCTGCAACTCTGGGCACATGTCTATAGAGATTGCCAGGAAATTCGAGGTCAAAAGCCTCGTCGGCCTGGACATAGATCGTGGCCTGGTGAAGGATGCGCAAAACACTGTTAGTCACATGAAGCGTCAGGCAACTCCGGGGCAAGCGATACCCCACATACAATTTGTGCACGGGAACTACGTCCTAGAGGACGACGTCCTGCTCGAGATTGAGCGGCCGCAGTTCGACGTAATACTTTGTCTGTCTGTCACTAAGTGGATCCACCTTAATTTCTGTGATTCCGGCCTGAAGCAGGCCTTCAGACGCATGTACCTGCAGCTGCGCCCAGGCGGCAAGCTGATCCTGGAACCTCAGTCCTTTGACGGCTACAAGAGGCGCAAGAAGCTATCGGTAAGCCTTATTAGACACGCAATCGATCGAAAATATTTTATAAATACATTTTTTTGTTTAGGAACAAATCAGAAATAACTACAATGCAATTAAATTCCGACCTGAGCACTTCACCGAATATCTGCTTAGCCCGGAAGTGGGCTTTGCCGAAATGGAACTTATGGGCGTACCGGAGCACTGCGAAGTAGGATTCAAGCGACCAATCCAGATTTTCACAAGGTCATAGAAAAAAAAAACACAAGAAATGAAAATTATCCAAAAATATTCGGGAAACCCCATATTTTATTTACATCGAAGAAGGAAAGCTTCAATTGTAATCAGTACTACTTCATTCGCTTTACTTTACTAGAAGAGCTTGGTATCTTTTCCAGCACGTTGGGAATCTTTTTCAGTAAATCGTCGTGTGTTAGTTGAAAGTCGCTGTCCGCCCACAGAAGTTTCAGTTCATCCATCACCAAACCAAGTCTCATTCCGTTAAGACCATGCTGAGCCAAAGCATTTCCCTTGATCGGGAAGTCCGGTTTGACCCATGACTTGAGCTGGTTGTATAGTTCTAGTTTGCCGGAATATTTTAGTAGCTGTTCTACGAAATCTCTTTGAATGTACTTTTGTAAGCACAACTTCTGGTAGTCCCGCAGGGTCGTGTACTGTGAGTCAACCTAGAAGGGGAAACTGGTGTTTGAAGACGTTATGTGAACTTGAGTGGATCGGGCATTTTACCTTCTCCCGCTCCTGTGTAATGAACCTAGCCAGGTCCCGTTCGTAGGCGGATAGTTTCAGGCGTTTATGCATTTCCATAGCGTTTTCCACGGAGTGCAGCATTCCCGTCAAGTACAAAATCGGATGATGTGGCTTTTCAAATTGATCTAGGGCTTTGCAAAGACGATCGAACTCATTCAGGTAGGGCTCTTCAGGCAGCCCAATGTACTCGAACAGGTTACAACGGTGCAACTCGAGAAACAATGCAGATCCGAAATTGCCCACCACTATCTTTTGGAGCTCAGACCAGATCCGTTCGCCACTTATTCTCGCAAGACCTTTACCGTTTTCCTTTATTGCTGACAGGGTGGCGTTATCGTGTTTCCCTTCCTCACTCGCGATGCGTCCGTAGAATCGGAAATAGCGCAGGATGCGCAGAAAGTCCTCCTTAATGCGAATATCTGCCTCGCCCACAAAGACCACGCGGCGGTCCTGGAGATCGTCGTAGCCATAAAAGTAGTCGTATACAGTGCCATCAAAGCCCAAGAACATAGAGTTGATTGTCAAATCGCGACGGTTTGCATCTAGTTGCCAGTCGGTCGTGTACATCACCTCCGCATGGCGTCCATCGGTACGGATGTCAATGCGTAATGTGGTCACCTCGAAATTCTCCTTGTCATTGATTCTAGGAGTGATGGTGCCGTGCTTTTCGCCGTTCGCGTTGATCATTCGCACCTCCTCCTTCTCAAACATCTGCTTCATCTGCTCAGGAGTGGCAGTGGTGGCCAAGTCGATGTCTTTCGGCGGAATGCCCATCAGGATGTCGCGCACAGCTCCGCCGGCGATCCGCAGCTCGTAGTCGTACTTCTTGAAGAGCGCCACAAGCTCATTCAGCTCGGGGGTAAATATGCTCTGGAACTCAGGAGTTGCCACCTTCCGGAATGCCGGGTTTGAGCGCGTTCTGGGTTGTTTCCCCATCTGGGCAATCAACTCCGGAGATGCGTCTCGTGAGCACACCATACTACTGGCCATCGTCTTTATCAGGCGGTTGTGCCGGCGGGCGTTGAATGAAAGGAAGGCACGTTTGGTCAACTTTACGAGGAGGCTTGGGCCATTCATGGAGAGATTTGAACACGCTCTAGAAATTTCATTAAAAATCAGCCTACAGTGTCTAACTTTTCAGATCTAATGACATTTAAAGCTTTGGGACCATATGTGATGTATACCCTGTAGTGGGAGGCTTACTCGTTCTCTGGTGTCATAAGGTTATACCAATAATATTAGAAGTTATTTGATTAAATATACAATTTTCATTACAAATTATTAGGCCCATATTTAATATTCAACTTTAAATTAAAATTATAAAATTATAACATACGGTTGTAAGTAATAGCTTTGAGAAATAGCCGATGTACAGGGCACTCTTAAGTCGAGATCCACGATGTCAGCGATATTCCTTTCCTAACGGTATAATTTGTAGTGTAGAATTCGGCCACACTTACGGAAACCTGTTACATTTTTTACCGTCTTGCTCAAAGTATTTGAAATCAATGCCACCGCGGTTGCCGTTCGGCCGAGTCAGAAACTTATTGCCGCAGGGACACGTAATTCGAAGGATGAGCTCCCAACCCAAAGTGTACGTAACTAGACCGGATGTGGATGACAGCGGTCTGGAGTTGCTGCGCAAGAGGTTTGTTGTTACTGCTACCGGCTATTTAGTTATTAGCATACGCACTAATTTCTGTATGCACGACTTTGCTCAGCTGCCAAGTGAGTACTTGGCATGAGACCTATCCGGTGCCCCGCTCTGAGCTGATCCGCGAGGTGGCTGGAAAAGATGCCCTTTACTGCGCCCTAACGGACACAGTTAACAAGGAAGTCCTGGATGCTGCCGGTCCGCAGTTGAAGTGCGTGGCCACTATTTCGGTGGGTTACGATCACATCGACGTGGAGGAGTGCAGGAAACGTGGCATTCGAGTGGGCTACACACCAGACGTCCTAACGGACGCCACGGCAGAATTAACGCTTGCTTTGCTTCTGGCCACCAACCGCCGACTATTCGAGGCCAACAAGCAGGTCTACAACGGTGGCTGGAAGTCGTGGGCCCCTATGTGGATGTGCGGCCAGGGACTGAAGGGCTCTCGGGTCGGCCTGCTGGGCTTCGGCCGCATCGGACAAGAGATAGCGGCACGCATTGTGCCATTTAAACCGGCGGAGATAACATACACAACCCGAACGCCACGCCCCGAGGAGGCGGCTGCTGTGAATGCCCGGTACGTGGACTTTGACGAGATGCTTCGGAAGTCAGACATCATAGTAGTCTGTTGCGCCCTAACACCGGAGACTAAGGAAATCTTCAATGCCGCGGCGTTTCAAAAGATGAAGTCCAACTGCATTCTTATCAACACGGCGCGCGGTGCAGTTGTAGACCAGAAGGCCCTGTATGAGGCACTAAAAAGCAATCAAATTCTGGCTGCTGGTCTGGATGTTACGACGCCAGAGCCATTGCCCCTCGACGATCCTCTTCTGAAACTTGATAATGTCGTTATTCTACCCCACATTGGGAGTGCAGACATCGAAACGCGGAAGGAAATGTCTCGGATTACAGCCAGAAATATTCTTTCTGCCTTAGCTGGCGAAAAAATGGAAGCCGAAGTAAAACTATAAGCCAAGTAATCCATTTTTCTTTAAAATCCATTTCTTTAAAAACATCTGTTTGTAATTATGGACCATATTCTAATTAAATATTAAATCTTTTAAAGGTACTTAAAGTTATTGAAATAAATGAAGCACTTTAACAAAGTACCTGTAATACGTCGATGACAGTGCCCTAAAATGAACTAACCCGTAAACAAACAGAAATATTTTTCTTTCTAATGGCGGTCAAGGAAAAGATGAATGTTAACGGCTCCGGTCGGAAAGGCCTTGGCGATCGACGAATTATAAACATTATCTTATTAAGTAACATGAAAATGTCTATGATAAAAAAACAAATAAACTGCAGCTAGTCCTCGCCAGGTGGCAATGGCTGGTTAAGATCGCTACCAATAGGCGGGGGAACAGGCAGTGGCACAAGAGACGTCAGTACGGGAACTGTTGAAATTACACCAATTTCTGATGGATCCGCTGCCTCTTTTTTAATATGCTCGGCGCTGATATAACCGCCGCTTTCGTCCTGAAAAAAAGATACACTTATATAGTAAAGGAACATTTACGATGTTGATATAGGGTTGAGTAAGTTATATAATATACTTCAGGACTTAGAACCTTAATGGTCATGTTAACCAGCGAACAATGTTTAACACAAAATAAAAAAATCATACTTACCGTCACGAACACATCCACTGACTTCCCGGAGATGATGTCCAGGACCTGCTGGGTAATGCCACTACCATTCATCGGTTCGTCCTGCATGCTCTCCGCGTATTCCGACAATGCTGGTCTTAAATCGGGGCACTGCTGCAATGCGTCCACCAACTGGGCAGGAGGGAGATGCAGCAGGATTGGCATTGACTGCGGTTTCAGGCGCTGCACGGTCTTTAGAAAGCCCTCCCAGATAACCTTCTGTCGCCAGACCTGCTTCATGATCAGACGCTGCAGCAAGTTCATTACAAAGTTTGCCAGACGCGGATACAGAGTTAGACTCTGAATTGTTGTGCGCATCATCAGAGTGGGCAGCGGAATAACCTCTACAAGCTGTTGCAGCACAGCCATAAGTACCTCCTGGGTGTACAAATCTCTTTCAGCCAAACAGAGGGATGTGGCCTTGACGATGGCTTTTAGGTCACAGACACTCGGGTCGATGGTGTGCAAAGCCACGAGAATATCAGTGGGGGACAAGGCCATCGTCTGATGTGCGAATTCGGCGCCGATACCAAGCAAACGATTGAAGACCTCCTTGACCACAGCGGGATTAAGTTTAATCAGCTTCGGTAGAACGGCAATTAGCTCGGAGCGAGTCAAGCCACTTAGTACGGGTATCATCACTCGCACATCCTTGACCTTGTTTTGGTATAGATCCCGAACCCGCCGCACCAATTCTTCATGGGGAGATGGCACTCGCTCCGTGAGTATATAAATTATGCGGATCACTAAGGTCTCCATGCCCTTAGGACAATCCTCGATCAGTTGAAGCAACGTCGGACTCTCCACACCCATCTTCTTGATAGGATTATCTAGACTGCGCAAGATCGTGCGTTTCAGTTCGGCAGAGGTGCAAACAAACACTTGACAAATCTTCTCTAAGTAAACTATCGAGGAAAACGAATATTAATATAAACAGTCAGTTTTTCCTCCTTTAATATAGGACAGGAACAACTTACCTTCTGGTTTATAAGGCAGCAGTGTAAAGGCCAAGCCAAAGCACACCTTGCCAGTGTCTTCCCGCCACGCGGACTCCTCCGTTGGTCGACCAAAATCCTGCGAGAAAACAGCTGCCGGTGGAGACTCCTGTTCTATAAATTTAAGCCACTCCAGAGCGAATTCGTCTATCCGAGACGGAAGTATTTTGTGCACGTGGTACAGACTGACAAGGTGGGCCTGTGCCCGATCCCGCAGATCCACTCGCTCGTGTACAGAAAAATTGAGCAGCGCTCTTACGAAGCGGTTCTTTCGCGGCGGCCTGAGCACTGCAAGGTCTTTGATCAGCTCCAAGCCGTGCTGGGAAAACTCGTCGTCCAGACTAAGTTGAACTAGATGCCCGATCGAAACTTCCGGAAGAATGGGTGCTTCTAGATAAACACGACGAATCAGAATAATCTTATCCTTGTGATCGCAACGCTCTCCAATGCCAAAGATGAGCTTATTCAGCAACTCGTTGTAGGCGTGATCGGGTCTGTTCTCTGTCTTAACGTAAGTGTGCCTTGTAAATCCTTGCAGCAGAGAGTACTCCTCAAAGAGCCAGGAAAATGCTAAATCAATGCGCTGCTTTACATCCTCCAGGATGAACTCCATGATGCCGTAACGCACGTTATCCGGAAAGGTGGCCGCGATCACGGTGACCAACTTGCGGCGCTTGGCTGACACGCCTCCCTTGATACACTGCCGCTCCGAGTTAAGGATGCGACGCACTGCCTCTGTAAGAAACTTCTCTTTTAGGTTGCGTGACAGGGGCTTGGTGATCTCTTGCAGCTTCAGCGTCTTGGCGCGTTCCTTCATCTTTTCAATAACAGTCTGCTCGCCCTTAGCACGCTCCATGGTCTCGCGCAGCTTCTTAGTTGCTTCCTCCTTACGTTGGAGCTCTTCCTCACTCAGTTTTTGAACAGCATTGTCGTCCACTACCATTGCAGTGTGTGTTGATTCAATAGCTTGCACTTTCTTAACTCTCATTGGCGGGTCTCGACTGAATGTTGCGGCACCTGGCCCTAGACGCTTTTCAGATAGTTGTTCGCCAAACATTCTGGAGATGTTGGTTACCTGCTGCTGAATAGACATTTCGCGAATGGGTGTATATTCCTGAAGGAACTTTTGTGGCACCTCAGTGGGCAGACTGGGCAAGAACTCCACCACCAGCCCCACAACAGTTTCCGGATTCCGGAAATGCTCTGCCAGAAACTTTTCATTAACGCGAGTGGACTTCTGCTTCTGTCGTTCCAATTCCTCAGTGTCTAGTTCCATTTCCCGCTGCTGCTGATCTTGCTGCTCGCTGGCCAAGCGCGCTCGCTTTGCAAGACTTTGCGCGGCATTTTCAAGGATGCGCTTTTGTCTGCGAGCCATCTCCTGCTTGTCCATCTTGGGAATAAGCTTTTGGATTTCATTTGTGGAGGAGCCCAGGTCAACTAACATACCTCGGATGGTGCCTGAAAACTCAAAGGCACCGCGGTTCTTCAGCAATGTCTGCAGCTGCATCTTAAGACTCTTGCGCACGGAGCTTACTTGCGAGTCGGTGAGGGTGGGCGGCAGGTTCGCATTCAGCTGCTTAAAGGCATCCACCACGGAGCCCATGAAGACAGGCCGCATTTTAGCAACCGTGCATAGGCTGCTTGTGCAGGCAATCAAGTTCACTGAGGAAATATGCGTTGTTCCGTGGAACTGAAGCAAGATATCGAATATATTGTTGCCCTCCTCTTGCAACTTTTGACGGCGGAATAGCTTGCATTGATCGGGGACATCGCCCAGCGAGAAGTCTCCATCTCGCTTTAGACTGTCCTCATCAGCAAAGCTTTGCAGGACAACGACGCCCTCCAGGAACTTTATGGCATTTGTACGTATGCCATCGTTTTCATTGTCGATCATATCCAGTATTTGCGCCTTGATCAAGCTGAGGATGTTCCATGCTTGCTCCGCACTGTCGCCGGGCTCCATAAGGTTGCACAAGTACTGCAATCCATTTTTGTAGATGCTACCGCAGGCCTGGATCACTCTTTTGATCACCTGAGCCGAGTTATCCCTAAGCAGCATAGACACGATGTTAATGACATGAGGCAGTAGCTCCACCTTCACTTTGCTGGGATGGAAGAGAAACGTTTCAGCAAGAAGTTACTTCCTTTAATGATGTCCTTACCAAACTTGCTCCACGAAGGCGACTACTTGCTTCCGAACCTCCATGTTTGGGTCGTGGGCCAAGGATAGCACGGACTCCAGGAATTCTTCGGCGAGCTCAGCGCAGGATCCAAGCACAGTCTCCTGCACCTTAACCAGCAGTTCGCACTTTGTCGAAGGCGATGCGATGGCCAGTTCATTGCACCAATCGACCACCTGAATGGGAAAATATTTGGTAGAATACAGCAGTCCGGCCCGACTTTTCAGATTTATGTTCTACCTTCGCTCTTGCCGTGGCGGTCTTCTCGTCCGTGAACAGATTGGCCGTCTCCGAGACAAACTGGCTGCGTCCAATTATGCTATCCATGATCGGTTAATTGAAGCAGAATTTGCCTAAATCTACTGATACTCCAGATATTTTTGAGAGCTGCCGGCACGGGTGGCAATGTGTTATCGGTACCATTGAGAAACTATCGAAAACGGCTCTATGATGTTGAAACTTCAGCATATTTCCGGACAGTCTAGCCAGTTTTTGTCAACTCTTGATGTGCTTAAAATAATGAATATTCTATTGAGAAGTTAACATATAATTGAATTAAACCGAACAAACTTAATATCAATATCAATATAATTAGTCATTTTTGGCATATCTCAGCTTAACGCGTTATTATCGATAGGCATGCTGCAGTTGCGCTGGCCCAGCGATATGCGGGGGTGACTATCGATATGCCAGAAGCATCGATTTGCTCACATTTCTTGGGTGTTTAAGCGTGAAAAAAAACGCCTAAATAAACGAATCGGCAGCGTGTCAGGCCAGAAAGTGCAACCAACGGATCGCCGTTTGCGCCGCAGTCGAGGATTGGAACCGCAGACGCCGTTGAAGGCGCCGAAAAACGTCGCAGCAATCGCCAGCCGTCGCAGCGGAGTGTTTACTGGGAGAGGGGTGCAGTGGAGGAGCTGTGTGGGCGCGTGCGTGTGTATGTGTGCGCCAGTGAGTGGGGCAGAGGCAGCGGCAGCGGCAGAGGAGCAGCGACGGATGTAGCTCGTTGCCCGGACCCCGTAGTGGATACCACGAAGTGCTAGCGCAAACGTACGCAGGCCAACTTGGAGGCACAAAGAAAATAAACACTGGAAACCGAAGACGAGGCCTTCTGGAACTGGAACAGCACTGCTCAACAGCCGCAGCCGCGTCGGTGACCGCACCCTAATGTCAAATAGCCAAGCGAATGCCGGCATCAGCGGTAGCGCGGTAGCGGATGAACCGATCCAGCACCACCCCTCCTTGGCGGCCGCCCCCGTAAGTGCATCCTGCCCAGCAGCGACGCCGCCGTCGCAGTCGACACAGCAGCCCCCGCATATAGTTGGTGCCTCAACAGCTGATGCGGGCAGCAGCGTTGCGGTCGGCGTCGTCGCTGGCAGCGAGGGCGTTAATCTGGACTCGTCGCCACGCGAGTCCGGGGACGATTCTGAGGATGAGAGCGAGATTCTAGAGGAGTCGCCATGCGGACGCTGGCTGAAGCGACGTGAGGAGGTGGATCAGCGCGACGTGCCCGGGATTGACTGCGTCCATCTGGCCATGGACACCGAGGAGGGCGTAGAGGTCGTGTGGAACGAGGTGCAATATGCCAGTCTGCAGGAGCTTAAATCGCAGGAGGACAAGATGCGGCAGGTGTTCGATAATCTGCTGCAGCTGGACCACCAGAACATTGTCAAGTTCCACCGCTACTGGACGGACACGCAGCAGGCCGAGCGGCCCAGGGTGGTCTTCATCACTGAGTACATGTCGAGCGGATCGCTGAAACAGTTCCTCAAGCGCACCAAGCGCAACGCCAAGCGGCTACCGCTGGAGTCGTGGCGCCGTTGGTGCACTCAGATCTTGTCCGCACTCAGCTATTTGCATTCCTGCTCGCCGCCCATCATCCACGGCAATTTAACCTGTGATAGCATCTTCATCCAGCACAACGGCCTGGTCAAGATCGGCTCGGTGGTCCCGGACGCGGTCCACTACAGCGTCCGGCGCGGCCGAGAGCGGGAACGTGAACGCGAGCGAGGCGCACACTACTTCCAGGCGCCGGAGTACGGCGCCGCCGACCAGTTGACCGCCGCCCTCGACATCTACGCCTTCGGGATGTGCGCCCTGGAGATGGCCGCCCTGGAGATCCAGCCTAGCAATAGCGAGTCAACTGCCATCAACGAGGAGACTATCCAGCGCACAATATTTAGCCTGGAAAATGATCTGCAGCGCGACCTGATACGAAAGTGTCTCAACCCACAGCCGCAGGACCGACCCAGCGCCAATGATCTGCTCTTTCACCCACTGCTTTTCGAGGTGAGTAAACTAGTCAGTTATCGTGTTCTAGATTGAAATCCCGCATGACAATTACTTTGTCAACTAGACCTTGTATTATAATTCTCGGATTCATCTTGCGGGTGTGAGATTCAGTTTAATAAAACGCTATTATAGAATTGCATTATTTAATCAACTTTCTCTTATGAATATAAGAAATGCCTTTATAAAATATTAAATAAGGATTTAAAGTATTAAATTTTGAGGTAATACACCGAAAACTATTTAAGTACCCATGATTTGTAGGTGGGTTTTTAGGCGAATCATTTTATCATCATATCTGAGAATTTAATATATAATATGTATGTACATACATATATAATTTTTCGTTCTAATGCTTTGCTTTCCAAACAAAATGGCAAGAGCACTAATCAGTTAATAATTCAACAATCCATCTTGACTGTAATATATATTATGATTAATTGCTCACAGTATTTATACAACAGCTTTTATATCTTAAGACCAACTACAAATGAATAAGACATTTTTTATTGTGCGGACATACATACATATATTACGTATATATATTACGTAATACATACGTATATTACTGTAACTAGTCTTTGTACATGTGTTGTACTTAGAGTACATGTTACTCGTAGAGTAAAGGGTATACTTTATTCGTTAAAAAGTAGAAGAATCGTATTCAGGTAGAAGAATCACTAGCCGAGTCGATCTGGCCATGTCCTTTGTCCGTCCGTATGAACGTCGAGATAACAGGAACTATAGGAGCTATACAACTTTGTTGTATCCGACTAACTTTGGAACAATTTTTTGACTTTTTCATATCTATCGGTAAGCACAAAGATTTTGGCCACGCGTCTTGCCTATTTCTATTTATATGCAAAACAAATGTTGAAACCGTGTGGACTCCCACTAGCTGAGCAACGGGTATCTGATAGTCGAAGAACTTGCGTGCATCCTTGTTGATTTTAAAGTAAATATTTTTATATAGTAAGAGATTGATTTTATATAGTAGAGATTGCAAGTTATTCATAATAGCACTTTTTTAAATGTAAGCGACTGAAAAATTCAGGTAATAATCAACTTTTTGCTGCTACAGGTGCACTCCCTCAAACTGCTGACTGCCCATTGCCTGGTCTTCTCGCCCGCCAACCGCACTATGTTCTCGGAAACCGCCTTCGACGGCCTCATGCAGCGATACTACCAGCCGGACGTGGTGATGGCCCAGCTGCGGCTGGCTGGCGGCCAGGAGCGGCAGTACCGACTCGCAGACGTTTCGGGCGCCGATAAGCTGGAGAAGTTTGTCGAGGACGTCAAGTATGGTGTGTATCCGCTAATTACGTACAGCGGCAAAAAGCCGCCCAACTTCCGTTCCCGGGCCGCCTCCCCGGAGCGGGCTGACTCCGTAAAATCTGCCACGCCGGAGCCTGTGGACACGGAATCGCGGCGCATCGTTAACATGATGTGCAGCGTTAAAATTAAGGAGGATAGCAATGACATAACCATGACAATACTGCTGCGCATGGACGACAAGATGAACCGCCAACTGACGTGCCAGGTGAACGAGAACGATACGGCGGCGGATCTCACCAGCGAACTGGTGCGCCTCGGCTTCGTCCACCTCGACGACCAGGACAAGATCCAGGTGCTGCTGGAGGAAACGCTCAAAGCGGGCGTTATGAGCGACGGTGCCGGGGCAGAGAGCTCCAGTGCGGGGGTGACGACCACGGCGACCATGGCGGCCTTGGAGCAGCTGGAGCGGAACTGGTCGATATCCTCCGATACAGACAAGCAGGGCACTGCCGTGATGTATGTTCCGCAGGAGCAGCAGCAGCACGCGAACGTGGAAGTCGACGTAGAACAGTCGGGCACGACGAGCAATTGAAAGTATCAGCTTAGTATTCAGGGAAGGCCGGCGCGTATTGTTTTTATTATTATTATGGGAAATTACACATTACGATTTTATTACTACTATTATTTGTTATTTTTATATATATACCTATATATATGTATATGTATGTATTTGAAATAATATTTATGTATGTATGTATCATAAACGATGTTGAACCAGGCTTCCAGGCTAAAGAATTCGATGACACACGGCAGACAAAGGTGGGTCGACTCGCTCGAGCACGATGCATATTAAAAATCGCAGGAACAATTAGCGTCATGTCTTAAATAACTATAATTTGGTGTTTCGATAGCTTAGATCGTACCCGGAAAATACGAAAAATCTTATAGGGTTAAATACGATTGCTTAATTTCATGCCTCCTAAAAACAATGTTATTATTCCTATCGTTTCTTTGGTAAATTTCTTGGAATGGTTTCGACTTCACGTTTCGGTCCCATTTCCTAATTGAAACCTCGAGACACTTTTTTGAAAAAAGCTGCTAACGAGCTTAACAAAAATCAATGCATTCGCTTAGCACATCTCTGACACGAGCACGAATGGAATTCGAAGCTCTGGATAGAAAAGATTCGAATATGAAAAACCAGACACATCATATTTCGAGAAACGAACGTCTTGACGCCAATATAAGGATCATATTTTTTAGGACATTATCAAATTTCATAAGTTAGCCATGCCGCGAGGACCCTAGACCGCTGTGGAATGTATTTAAATGTATTACAAATATAAACAAATACGCAAGGCCACGAAAAATAATAAATTATTAAACTAAAAACACAAGCAGTGCATGCAACAAAAAATAATACACAACAGACATAGCTACACTATTATTAAACAAATAAAGAAGGCAACCAGCTGACTAATTAAAAGACTTTTTCTTTTTTTCTGAGCTATTCAAATTAATTTGCTTGCTAGGTGCAAATCAGTCAGTTAGGAAGTTTAAGATCCACGAACATAGAACATATGAATTACCACTGATACTGTTTAAGAGAAGCAAACGGGTTCCTTTAAGCGCCAATATTTTGAGGTGTGACATTTCTTTCCCTAATATGTTTTTTTCGATTAAGAACGACAAGAAACCCTCCGACCATTCTGTAAAATATTTAAAAACAAATACTGTGTTCCAAAATTACTTTATTTTGATTTGAATGATCCTAAGTAGGAAATATTATTGATAGGTGATATCTATAATTAGCTTACTCATTAAGTAATACCACCGATCTTGTGGAAAGAGAGCCTAGGCACATGCCTGAACAGCTGACTCAGACTCTTTGGGCTCCGGAGTGGCCAACTTTATGCGCTTGCACTGCCGCTCCTCCGGCTCGTCATCGCTAAAGCCCTCCTGTGGACCGGCTCCCAAAGAGTCTGTGTCAGGGTGCTCCTTATCACCACTCGCTACCGTCAGCGCTCTAATGGGTAGCTCGTGCTCATAGAGATCCAACAGCTTGTTGCCTTCGTACAGAACAAACGGCAAGGTGGCTTTTTGATAGTAGTCCGGCATCAGCTCCAAGTTGTTGATGACCGTGTCCAACATGTGGGACTTCTCGCACCATATGCCCGGCGCATCGTTCCGCACTGGATTGATGTGCACATGCAGGTGATAGAAGGACGGCTGGTAATGAAAGTACATACGCAGCTGATTGGGATTAATGCCGTATAATTTGAAAATTGCGTCCTTCGACGACTGGCGCAAGTTACGCAAAAGATCAAGATGGCTTTCATTCAAGTCGCGCAGAGACTTGATGTCCCGCTTGTGAACAATGGCCAGCAGATAGAGGGTTTCCACATTACGTCCGTCCCATTTGAGATCGGGCAAAAGGATAAAACCAGTCTTTGGATCCTTGTCCTCGTACACGATACGTTCCTTCTCCTGCTTGTGCTCGAGTATGTTGTAGACCCACTCTAGGGAGAACTGACTTGAGGTGAGATATGGAAGGGTTATTCTTTGGTAGAGATCAGGAGTCTCCCGAATGAGATACTTTTGGGAAACTGAGTACTTCTCGATGTGCTTCTCGGTGGCAGGATAAATGACTGTGCTTTTCACACCTGGGAAATTAATGAGTGTTATCTATAAGGTATTTTCAGTATGAGTTATCAATTTAATACTTACTGCACAAATCCCGGGTGGGCACAACCTGAAAACTGCCGTAGATATTGTTGATAAACTCAGTGTCAACCTTCAGGTCCGAGGTAAAATAACTAGGCTTCTTGGGAGACTCCTCCGATGACGCCGTGGCCACATCGCTTTCCCGGTAAGCTGCGGTTAATAGGGATTATAATACAAAGAACATTTCCTTCTTTTATTTACGTTTTTATACCATTTTTCTCGAAAACAACAATGGCATCATCGGTTCCTAAATCCGGAAAAGTACCCAGAAGGGATATACTTTTCCTAACGCTGTTGTTGGTTAGAATCCGCTTCAATCGAAACTTGGACAATTCATACGACGGCGACTTTACCTCTGCGCTATCAACTGTTTCCGACATTTTTGTAAATAATAATAAAAGCTGCAAATATATATGTAATTCTATGTTCTTGCGGCTTTTCAGAGAGGCAGCGTGACCGTGACTGGCCTCTACAAAAATTCCATACTCATTTCCAAGTAAATTTAGCTCATACTCAAACCTTGGTAAATAACATTGCTGAAACGGTTTTACTGGTTTTTGAGTTGAAATTATTCTTTAGGCCCCAAGTTGTAATTAACGTAAAGCCTTTTAAAGGCTAGATAAGGCAAAGGGCATATTAAATACAGGCAAAACATCGTTGTTGAATTCTCATTTATTGTGTACAAGCCATTAAAGTACCGCTAATGAACTTTACAGCGGCTACATCGTAACACTAAGCGCTCGCCAAACATGTTCAGAACAATGTAATTATGTTGAGCTTAACACTAACACACACTTTGCACTTACACCTACAGCCGATGTACACAAAAGCATGAATATTAAAATTGGTTTCCCCGCCGGCTGCCACGTTAACTACACAACTACTCCCTTGGAGGGCTTGGCGCCCAGTATGTCCGACAGCTTCTGCTGGTAGGAAGCCAAGAGATTGGCGTCGGTTATGCCAAAGGACTTGCAGGACAATTGCAAGGCATTGAGCAACTGCATCTCTGAGAACTGAGTGCCCCGCTCCAGCAACGCATTGAGTATTTCCTGTGGGTAAGCAAAGTTCCAAGTGGATAAGTAAATTATACAATTTTGGTCAATCACTCTTACATCTGGCTCCATGCAAAGCAGCTCATAAAAGTGTCTCGCCTGATCCAAAGCCACTTCCCTGGAGGCAGTTATGTTACTTAATGTTTGCTGCAGGGCAATCGCGTTCCTGCACATGCGTTGCACGGTTATTTGATCTATGTGCTCCAGATAATTGGAGGCCTGGATAAGAATGCGCGATGCCAAGTGCGCCAGACCCTCAAAAATGTACTACAGAAAAGAACGTTAAAGCAAAAGGAAACTGCACAGATATATTAACCTTACCCTGGTCTTTCTTGGATGTAGAGTGGCACTAAACGCCTCATCCATCTCAGACAGTCGTTTGGTCAGCACTTGCACCTGGCGGTCAGGCTCTAGGATGTCATCTTTGGAGCCCACATAGCTGTTGGTCCTTACACTCGCCTTCGAGCGTAGATAGTGGAAGCATTGAACGCGCACCTCCAAATGCAATACCAGCAGGCAGGTGTTCGCCAGTTCATCAAACTCCAAAGCTAGATTGGTCATTACTTTGATAGTCCCATCCTTTACTGCAATGTCGGCACCGCATTCAGCAGGAACGGCGTTCAGTCCGTTTACCAACGGCCGACGCAAATCGTTGGCAAATTCCGACACGCGGCACGAGAACCACTCCATGCTCTCCTGCAGTATGGCCAGCTCCTTGAGAACACTGATCTCGACCAAAATCTCTTGCTGGGTGATCCCACCCTCGCCTAAATTACTGGTCAACATTTCAGCCTCGCGGATGTTGCGCTGCTGAACCTGCAACGGGCTCTCCTCCTCCGACGGTTCAAAGCTTCCACGATGAAGTTTTCGGTTGTGACGCGACTTCTGACTGGAGGTCTTTAAATCAGTCCAGTTGGGAAGCGTTCTAGACAATTAACAAAAGTAAGTGGAAATTCTAAATACATATTGTTTTGATTATCTTGTACTTACTTTAAAAACCTGCTGATATCTTCATCTTTTAGCCATGCGACGCTGTAAATTCTCTTATCCTCTGAATCTGGCTGCACGATTCCGCGGTAGGCCGCCTGGCATATTTCTCGATAGGCCTTTAACAAAGCACACACCATCTTAAGTAGATCTTCAGAGTAACAGGGCAAGTCTTGAATGAGGTTCTTAGTTTCCATCAACCTCCGTTCGACCATCACAGTAGACTGCAACAACGGCCTGCTTAGATTAAGAGCCTTTATTTCCTCAGGACTTATGATAGTGCGCCATGCATCTTGATTTTTCGACAGCGACTCTATGGTCAGCTGCAGGTTGCGGTTGTGTCCTTTAGATAGGAATGTGTCCTTAATGTAGTTGTCTAAAAAGTCATGGAGACTGCAAGGTTGCCTGAAAGTACGATGAAATATTATTTCGATGCATTCGAGCCAGAAGCTACTAGAGTATCATCTTACCCTGGCTTGCATTTCATAAAGTTCTCTATCTCCTTGATATATCCCATTAGAGGTAGATACACTTTGGTAATGATATTTTGATCGGGTGTACAAATAAGTATTTTTTCCCGTTGCTTTTTCTCGTGACGAAAGAGGCCAGAGGTGGAACCCTTGCCACTACCCCCAAGCTGGGCGGCCAGGTTGTCATCCACGGAGGCATCCGAGGCGTTGCGACGATGCTCCTTGAAGGAGTCGCTATTGCTATTGCTGTCAACATGCGATGACTTATCGAACTTGAACATTGCGCGCTTGGTGCTAGTTATTAAAATAAGTATTTTAGTACAGTCAGCCCGTTAACTGGCATGTAACTTACCTCGGCACCTTGCGCCTTAGAAAATAGGAATTTATGTTGCTGGTGGGCTCTGAAAAACCCGTCTGGGCGCTTTCGTCCGAGGCAGCATTCTGTATATCCAAGTAGTCGGTGAGCAACAGTTGCAGCTTAAATAGAATGTTGGTACCCAATGGGAAATGCGATTCAGAAGAGCTTGAAGATCCAACACTTACCAC